GGCTTTTGAGCGCATGTGCTAAAATAAGCCCTCCCCCGAAAACAAGCCCTCCCTGAAAATATTGCAACACAGCACCAGCCACACTCACCACCTCCTGCACCTCAAAAATAATAAGACCTCCCCGAAAATAAAGCCAAGTGCTTATTTTGGGGGTCAAAACAAAATAAGACCCTGTCTTGTTTTCAGGGAAAATGGGTATAGTTTTTATTTTTTAAAGAGCCCTCTTATATTGATATATATTAAAATAAACTTAAGGAGAAAACATTGTGATACAAAGTCTCACACCCAGAGATATGGGAGATAACAAAGGCAGTGCAGTAGCGTTGCCAACAAATGCAATACCTGCTTTGTTCTTTAGGTGGCAGCAACTCCATTTGTCTCCTCTGAAAACCCCTGGGTGATAGGAGCATAGCATTCCAGCGTTATTCCCACAGACTTTCCGTAAGGCTGAGAGCCACTGGCTCAGCTCGTTCACACACTGTAAAACAAGGCAGAAAGGCCATAAATGCCATGGATTCTCCTGATTGGAGGTAGCCAGGGACTTTAACACATCTCCCCCTTTTTCTGCCCTACTTCTAGGGAAACAGATACTACAAGGCCCAGGCTGTGGGTTTGGCAGTGCTGTATATCCCACACACTTGTTTGACTAGAGAAAACTGCAGGTCAATAGAAAGCAGAGTGGACAGTGACAGTGACAGTGGACAGTGAAAGTGAGGAAGCCCATGTTGAGCTACTTTCAATTCCCTTAAAAGATACACACCTTCAATCTTGTTCCCTGTGACATTTGTACACGAGAGAATAGAACTATATAACAGGATGCTTGAACCGTAGTTGATACTTAACCATGCATATTAAAATTAACCAATGACAAAATACAAATATAGAATGGAATTACAACCCGATTCACACATGATTCACCTGATTCATTTATTTTCCAAATTTATTTGATGCAACGGTTTCACGGTCTAATTAAATGTCAATGCCTAATACAGGTTCTGCCAAGTGCAAAACTGATTTCATTGACCCAGCGTTCAAGGAAGATTATAATTAGCTAGAGATAGATCCTTTCTTTTTTCAGGGTGGATGGGGATAAATTAATTTAATAAACTCCTTTCATGGAATGTTAATTACTTACTGGAGGGTAATCTGGCCTTGTTATCAGTCATTATTGAGACCAAGACCTAGAGAGGAACTGCAAAAATGGAATTTCTTTTGAGACTCTGTCTCTGTGTCATTTTAACAGATTAACAGAGTTGGAAGGGACCTTGTAGGTCA